ATACCGTCCCAAACACACCTTCGACCACATCTTCTCGAACAGCGGAAGTCATCGTTGGACTCACTAGAAGAACGAACAAGATATTGTCAATGAAATGCATTTCCTAGTCTTCACTCGCGCTTGAATAAAATCATATTCTTATGTATGTACACACAAGCAGATAAAATCTAATTTTAATGAGCGGTAATTCTTGTCACCTAACCGCAGCGAAAGCGTATCCAGGATGCACGGGTGAGCGCATGGATATTGGTGGTATATAAAGGCTGATTTGAGGCAACGATCAAAGATTTTACAGATAAGGAACCGTTGGGAAGGCTTGAGCGGGAATAACACTTTGACGAATAATCAGAATGCCGACCGATTGGGACATCGCGTTGAACTCTTGGTCCGAGGTTGTCGATGATTCGTCATCCAACGAAGAGTCAACATTCAGTGAAGAATCAACATCCAGTGAAGAATCAATATCTAGTGAAGAATCAACATCCAGTGATGAATCAACATCCAACGAAGAGTCAACATTCAGTGAAGAATCAACATCCAGTGAAGAATCAATATCTAGTGAAGAATCAACCTAATCGTCGGGTGGGGGGCGGAGTAGAGCGTAAGGCGGCGGCCTGACCTGCAGCGCGGTGCCCGAAACTACGGTGATAACAAACGAGATTAACGCGCCACAGGAAGACAGGGTAAAGATAATTTATAAAAATAGCAAGACAAAACGACCAAAGGTATAATGCCAGCAAAGAATCACAAACCAAGCCCAAAGAAAACGAAATAGAAAGCCCCAACAAAAGTCAGTGGAAATTAAGGCGCCAAACCAAAAATGAAATAAAAACATAACTAAAGGGCGATGAAAATCAAGTAAAATCGTCCGAAAAAGTAAACCAGAAAGCCAGGCTAGCCCAAAAGAAATAAAATTGGGAAAGCGATGAAGAAGCGCTACCAGAAAGTGCCAAAGAATAATCCGAAGCTCTTCAAAGGAGCCAGGCCTAGTGCGGGACCTGTCGCGACCTAACCGCTACAGCGGCAGACCGGGAATGACATCAATATTAATCCTCAACACCTGCAGGCCGCACTTGCGCCGGCACCAAAGAGTGTGAAATAAATGGGCGTAAAGACGCATTTCGATACCAACAAGAAAGCCGAGAAGAGAGCACCGATGAGAAAAGGAGTCACCAAGAATGTGAATGATGGCCTTGCATCTCAATGGATCATTAAGTAGGATAAACAGCAATCAACGGCGGCGGAAAACTACGCTTCCTCCGACCACTAAGCTTCAGTTCTGCGGGAAACTTCAACAACGTCTGTTGTTGAATCAGGAACCTAGAACCCTGTCTATTATGAACTGGGTAATGATGTCCTCAATCCACAGCCTTCAAAAGGACAAATATGTCCGATCCCTGGTAAAGGGTCAATTACTCCTATTCCAGGTAAAGGAAAAATAAAGGTTGTGAAGAATCAACAGCAATTCCCAGAAATTGGAACGCCGAAGGGTTTCAAAAAAGCATCCCCTCAAATATCAGGACCTCGTGACCTGGCATAAAGACTGGACGTTCGTTTTGGCGATTCTGAAACGAACACGAGATTAAACGGCGAGCACCTAGAACCAGAAAAGCACGCGTCACCGAGACCTCGAGCTGTAGAGTTCGAATGTTCAGACCAATGCTAAGGCGTCTGGACCGGTCAGTGTGGTTTGCCGGAACAAATTCTCGGACCACCGTGTTATTTTCAGGAGCCTAGCCTCGGAATACCATCAATGGCGGCTCCTTGTTATCAATGTCCAACTTCCGTTCTTCCACAAATCGCAGCCCCGTGTTATCTCCAGGACCCCTGCTTTGTACCACCATCACCTGCACCCTATCAAGCTCCAATTTTTGGCTGCGAATGTTAAGACGTCTACTGCAGTGGATGTCACTTCTTTGGAGGATGCTGAAGGTTTCAAAAAACCTTCTGCATAATTTTGGCTCTACGTCATGATAAAAATCAAGCCTTCTATTTAAAACTTGAATCAGATTTTGTAGTTCAGAAATATTTTCGAATAACTAGAGAGACAATGAAAAAATTGTATTGATTTTTTGTGTAATAAATAGTGTTTAAAAATCGGAATGAATTTCTATACCAGGCGTGAAACTATTTCAGGAATAGATTCATCTATACTAAGAGAGAACATTCGTGCTTTAAAATTCATTTTTTGTATTCCCTTTAGTTCAGTGCCTCGAATTAGGTTATGGAAATGCACTTAATCACGAGCCATCGTTATAACCGCATTAGATTTAACACATTGAGTGCGGTACGACAAACCGATGAGTCGTATCATCGGTATGCGATACGCGTTGAATACGACTCAACCGCATTCTACGTGTTAAAAATATTTTGTTCCGTGACTCATTATATGGCCAAAATAAAGCACGAATTTTGGAAAACTGCCGATGGCTCTCGATGCACAGTTTTGAGCAAATAATAATTCGGGGCAAATATATAATAATTGAGTTCATCACGATCTCATTGAGTTTATTTCATCACAATCGACACAGTTAAGTGCATTATGATGCATTTAAAAGGCAATTAGGCTTTTATTTCAAAATTAATATCTCAAGACGAAGTTTATCTCAACACACTCACAGTGCATCAAGGAATGTTGTGCCACAGCCTGAACATTTATTTTCATGACACCTCTACGTTGTCATCAACGTGCTACTCTCTATTGGCGTGCACAGCCCAAAAACATCGTTTAGGGCTGTGATAGAGACGGCGGCGGTGCTCGATCTGCCGGCATCACGAGGCCAGTTAACGACCAAAGGAGAGCCTCGCTTCCAGATATTGATTGTGGACTGCCTAAGCCAGCCTCTAATCTCAAGCAAGGCCGAACTTACGAATATCAGTGCGTCCGACATCATGCACCGAACGTACTTATTAATATCATTGTAATGAATTTGTCTCTTAATGACACGGGATTCCAACATCATGGACCGAACTTGGGAAGATTAGTGTTTTGAATGTCGTGTATTGAAACGTTTCGCCCAACATCCCGGGCATCATAGAAGCATGTCTGAACCTAATATTTCGATGAACAGGAGCTGCTGGTTTGCCGTTGTAGACGCCGAACTCCAGTTTTTCGCAGAAGAACTCTTCCCTCATTGCAACTACCCGACCCGAGCTGTTGTAAGACTTTAATGAACAACCTTAGTTCAATTCATAAAATTGCGTTCAACGAGCTTGACGTATTTTCTTGTGACGTGTATGACAGCGAGACCTTACAACAGTAAACAACTTTTCTGAGTTGAAGCCAAGCTTCCAAAGATGCCGTTTACGAGGCTCATGCAGGGGTCAAGGTTTGTGTTTCTTAAGCAAAGAGATGCAGAGTGGCGCTCATGGCAAATGCAAATGTATCATGCAAATGTATCAAATGTAATGTAGCAAATGTATCATGCAAGTGTCAAGCGGCCGAGCGTTGTCAGTGTTTTCAACGTCAGAGGCTTAAATATTTTAATTAAGCGCTGAATATTGCTTCCCTGAGCCCTATCGCTGATCGCATGAGTGGTTAACCTGCTTCGTCTAGACGAGGGAAATCTAAAAGCTTTCACCGCATCTCCCGTTAGATTCACTGGCAGGTCTCAGCATCACGCAACTCGATTCCAGAGGACTCGAATCTCGATGAAAATCAATTCTACTGCTAATATTCAAAACATTTCAGTAATTTGTATTACTCAACGAAGATTGTTTCCATGATAGCTTAAGCAAAAGCTTGAGGTTTGCCCGAGAATAAGCAATAGATAATTAAATGTCAGGAGTGATATCCGTGGAGTGTTGTCAAATGTTGGTCAATCCAGATATCTACGGCACGTTCAACTTTTAAATCAAAGTCTCCACATGATTTAAACAAATTAGGATTTTTTCTCTCAAATGTGAATTAAATAAACTTTTATAACTAAAATTTTTGCCATGTTCATTTCAGAAGGAAATGAATTTTGAATTCATATTTGTCGTCTTTCTGCCCCTTAATAAAACCTAGTCGAACTGATCACACCCGTTGAAAATTTACCTATCTTCAGCGGTTACCGACCATGAGCCGTTCATTTGCCGCCCATTTATTATTTGTCTATGATTAACACTTTAGTGCACCTTTGACGGCAGCGTCTGGGCACTAATATTTTCAAAGTTTATTTTTCTTGTCCAAAATGTAATCTGATGAATCAAATAACACGGAATAGCGTGAAAAATGGTATCTTTAAGCAGATTTTAACTGATAAAATTCACGACATGAAATATTAATTACTTTTTAACTCATAAAAGAACTGTTCTAAATGACGTTTATTGCTGCAGTCAACATTAAAGAGTGATGCATTTTGCTTGAAATTACATCAGAATTAGAATTATATCAGAATAACATCAGAACGTTGAAACGGAACGCTGACAGGAAACCATAAAGTAAAGTTAATTAATGAAATATTAGTTTGTTTTGTTTATTTGAATCCTGTCGTTGTCCTAAATACCCATCGGGTCGATCTATTTTCAGCGACTCACAATAAAATTACAATAGTGGAGACGACAAAATGATAACGAGAATATAAATGTATCAAATGCTAATGATGATCTAATCTAAACACAACCAGCCTGGCACACAGGTTTAATATAAATTCTACATAAAGTAGAGTATAATCTCGGGTGTACCTGCAACTGAGTCTGCCATCCAAACAGCGGCCTTCGATTTTCTGTCGCACAGCACAACAGAAAACGAAGCCGTCGATTGCGGCGGCCCACGTCTTGATGTTGCGATGAATTATTGTGATGTGTGGTGCTGCAGTGGTTAGTGTGGTAGCATGTGATTCTTGAGTGGTGATGTGATGTGTTGCAGCGTTGTGTGTTTTGACGTGTGATTTTGATGTGGTGATGTGTGATTTTGGTGCTGGTGTGATGATGTGTGATTTTGGTGCTGGTGTGATGATGTATGATTTTGGTGCTGGTGGGATAACTTGTGGAGTTGGTGTCGGAGTGGTACCGACCGTGGAGTCGGTGCTGGTGTGTTGTTGGAGCTGGTCTAGTGGTTGCATTGCTTCTGGTGTGATGATGGGTGGTGTTGGTGGTGATGATTTGGTGATGGCATTGCTTCTGATGTGATGACGGTTGGTGCTGGTGGTGAGGTTGGTCTGGTAGTTGCATTGCTTCTGGTGTGATGATGTGTGGCGAATAAAGGATCTGGGAATTTGTAAGAGTTCACGCAATATGTGAAAAACAACACCACACCTTAATCACGTCATTACATTGTTTAAAGATAAATTACCGAAAAATCGAAGCGAATTCCTACAGATTTCCGTTCTAAGATTTGCGTTTACTTTTCCACTCGTGGTCTCGAGTAAATTTTCGTAATCTGCGTTCCTGACCATCCACAATCCTGATTCCCACCTGGAGCAGCTTGGAATTGCGTCAGCGGGACTCGGAATCCGAACTGGAATCTGGCTCTTGGGTGACATTCCGATGCAAAGCTGTCCATTTGTAGAGTGTTGATGTAGCATCTGACGTACGTCTGGCACATGCCATTATTTCCGATTCCTTAAATAGCATAGTTCGCTAACTTCTAGTGTACATTTCTGTTACGGTAAATATTAATAAAATAATTAGCATAGTTCGCTAAGTGTTAGTGTACATTTCTGTTACGGTAAATTTTAATAAAATAATTGGCATAGTTCGCTAACTGTTAGTGTACCTTTCTGTTACGGTAAATTTTAATAAAATAATTGGCATAGTTCGCTAAGTGTTAGTGTACATTTCTGTTACGGTAAATTTTAATAAAATAATTGGCATAGTTCGCTCACTGTTAGTGTACCTTTCTGTTACGGTAAATTTGATTAATTAGCATAGTTCGCTTGCTGTTATTGTACATTTTTGTTAGGTAAACTTTATTTTCATTTAACGGCGGTAAAAAAGATGATATCTTTTACCGGTGAAATTCAGACTAGATTCTTTTCTTTATAGCACTCACGATTATTTTTGAATCATTCAATTCGGCAAGTCATCATCTGTAGTAACTAAAAATTCTTGACCCGTTTTACTTCTGCAGCGAACTTTTACATTCTATCTTCTATACAAAATCTCCTTTGTTATGTAGCTGTAAGCTAGATCTACGATATAAACTCGACTTCATTACCAATTCAAGAACCGTCTCTCAAACATTCACCGTTTGAGAGCCTCATTGACCTGATCTGCACTCAGTCGATGGTGTGATGGTGGCCGCGAAAAGACGTGTGATGGTGGCCGTGATAAGACGTGTGATGGTGGCCGTGATAAGACGTGTGATGGTGGCCGTGATAAGACGTGTGATGGTGGCCGTGATAAGACGTGTGAGGGTGGCCGTTATAAGACGTGTGATGGTGGCCGTTATAAGACATGCGATGGTTGCCGTGTTAAGACGTGTGATGGTGGCCGTGATAAGACATGTGATGGTGGCCGTTATAAGACGTGTGATGGTGGCCGTTATCAGACGTGTGAGGGTGGCCGTGATAAGACGTGTGAGGGTGGCCGTTATAAGACGTGTGAATATAAGACGTGTGATGGTGGCCGTGATAAGACGTGTGATGGTGGCCGTTATAAGACGTGTGATGGTGGCCGTTATAAGACGTGTGATGGTGGCCGCATCGAGCCATTATGGACGGGCTTGAGCTGATACCAAAACATTAATTAAATTAATGTTCATTTTCAAATTATCCATTCCACTTGTCAATGAGTATCTTTTGTCCGCCTTTTTCATGGTGAAAAATACAATTCAAATTGGAGCCCGCATATAATGATTTATTTGAAAGTGTTCTTTGATAAAATCAAAGGAGATCTAAAGAAATAGTTTCCCATTACACGTCTTCAGTAGCATCATTATTGGCAAACATGGCCGCCATGACACTTGTTATCGCACGAATACAGAGAAAATGATTTCATAGGCTCAGAATTAAAGGCTATTCATTCGCCAGCAGAACGGACCGCGCAGACACCAGATCTTGTCCGCTTTACATATTCCAGTCAACTTGTCAGCTCGACTTGTTCTAGTCAACTTGTCAGCTTGACTTGATCTAGTCAACTTGTCAGCTTGACTTGATCTGGTCAACTTGTCAGCTTGACTTGATCTAGTCAACTTGTCAGCTTGACTTGATCTAGTCAACTTGTCAGCTTGACTTGATCTAGTCAACTTGTCAGCTTGACTGGCTCCAGTCAACTTGTCAGCTCGGCTGGCTCCAGTCAGCTTTTCAGCTTGACTTGATCTAGTCAACTTGTCAGGTTGCTGTCAGCAAGTAACCTGACAGCTCGGCCCGCTATCAGCTGACAGCCCTCTTGATCGCATGGCTACTGCGCGGTTGCTGGTACGCACACGAAATAAAATACGGGGCACAAGAAACGATACAAGAAATTATGCTCATATAAATCACACGCAAGGACTGCAGTGTTGTAGTGCTGTATGCTGTGGTGATACAGTGCTGTGGCACTGCAGCTTTGGTATGCTGCAGTGTTGCAGTGCTGTGGCACTGCAGCTTTGGTATGCTGCAGTGTTGCAGTGCTGTGGCGCTGCAGCTTTGGTATTGCTGAGATGCTGCAGTGTTGCAGTGCTGTGGCGCTTCGGCTTTGGTATGCTGCAGTGTTGCAGTGCTGTGGCACTGCAGCTTTGGTATTGCTGGGATGTTGCAGTGCTGCCTAAATGACTGCACGTGTGCCGCAGTTCCTGGAGCAGTGTGACGAGGTGCTGCTCCTGCAGGTGCTGCTCCTGCAGGAGGTGCTGCTCCTGAAGGAGGTGCTGCTCCTGCAGGAGGTGCTGCTCCTGCAGGAGGTGCTGCTCCTGAAGGAGGTGCTGCTCCTGCAGGAGGTGCTGCTCCTGAGGGAGGTGCTGCTCCTGAAGGAGGTGCTGCTCCTGCAGGAGGTGCTGCTCCTGCAGGAGGTGCTGCTCCTGAGGGCTGTCTCTTATACACATCTAGATGTGTATAAGAGACAGGATGTGTCTCGTGTGGCTGGGTGGTGTGTCTCGTGTGGCTGGGTGATGTGTCTCGTGTGGCTGGGTGATGCGTCTCGTGTGGCTGGGTGATGCGTCTCGTGGGGCTGGGTGATGTGTCTCGTGCGGCACCCGTCAGAAAAAAAGCTGGTTATTATTATTTCAAGATGAGGATCGTCTGGTGCACGCCGCCGTATGATGAGTCACATGTGGCGAACCTGCTTACTTAATGTCGTAAGCAGGGCCTAACTAACCCCGGACACTGCATAAAATCAAAGTTCTGATGCCGGTACTAATGCGTACATTTACTCACTATTTGAAAGTGTGCATTGACACGCTAACATGAACGGCGTAACGTGCGTTTACCGCGCATGAGTCTATAGATTATGATCTCCCTTAGGGGGACGTGGCGCCCGGAGGGGGCGTGGCGCAGCCCCAGCAGAGGTTTGCTATTTCCTCAGGCACCGCGCCTGGGGAGGCGTGAGGCGTCGTGTGTAGAACTGAGTCACCTGGGGAGGCGTGAGGCGTCGTGTGTAGAACTGAGTCACCTGGGGAGGCGTGAGGCGTCGTGTGTAGAACTGAGTCACCTGGGGAGGCGTGGGGCGTCGTGTGTAGAACTGAGTCACCTGGGGAGGCGTGAGGCGTCGTGTGTAGAACTGAGTCACCTGGGGAGGCGTGAGGCGTCGTGTGTAGAACTGAGTCACCTGGGGAGGCGTGGGGCGTCGTGTGTAGAACTGAGTCACCTGGGGAGGCGTGAGGCGTCGTGTGTAGAACTGAGTCTGTCTCTTATACACATCTAGATGTGTATAAGAGACAGGTCCGGCTCTCTCAAACCGTCAGTAGCTTAGTGCATTTCATCGTGTTATGTGGCTAATTAGACATGCTTCTCGTTTCCATCGTGTACCCTTAGTGTGAACTGCGATGCAAGCTAATAGAAAATAATGAAGTTTCTAAAAGCTGAACATGCTAATTTAGGAATATTTAGAAACACAACTTCCTAAGTGTTTAATGTCCAGTGCCTCCTAAAGTGAAGGTCTTTGGCGGTTAGAACTTGGAATACCGGCAATGACGACATTCAAGAGCACACCGTCGAGCTTCAAGATTTTTGCTGAAATTTTTAACTTTGGGGTATAATGGCACGAACGTGTTATTTCAGCTGTTCGTGTTATTATACTCGAGGTTATAATTTCTGATTCATCGACCAAGACATCATCAGGATCGTTTGTGGACTATAGAACCGAAAGCTTAGATTCGTCAAGTCGATTAGCTTTGAGTTGAGTAGTGGCATTTGAGTCGAGTAGTGGCATCTGGCAATCTTACCAACTGGTCGGCGGAGAGCTTGCTGCTGAAGACGCGTTACAACAGGGTAAGGGAACTAAGTTGCAATTGTAATGTAAGGGAATTTGTAACGGAACTAAATTGCACGGTTCCGTTATTGTGAACTCTATTCGAAGTGAAATCAAACTATTGGTATTTGCACGTGCGTATTTCGAGAATTTTAGGTACACAGGATAGGGAAAAATTGCATTTCCGTTCCGTGAATAATTTCACTATATATTAGGTAGTAATAGGTACTTCATACCTGGAAACAGGAATTAGCTACTAATATTGAGGATTAAGTCTGCTATGTTGGAATAGTTGAAATTAAGCTCTGTAAATACAATAGGCTGTTTTTTTTTGCTACTACTGAATTTTAGGAGAATTCTGAGGACTGATTCAACTGATTATTGCGGGAGAATGCTTAACAGTATATGTGAATAGCCTATTTGGTGCTCGCGAATATGAGAGAAGGTTTAATACTGGTTAGGTGAGATAATATTTTGCTCAGCCGTACGTGGTAAATGTTTGGTACCGGCCGCTACTACCGCAACAGGTACAAGTGTTTGGTACGGGCAAATGGGTAAAATGTTTCGTACATGGATGATCTGGGATAATATTGAGCAGTGTTGAATATTGGAGAATGTTGATAGTTGAGTGATATTGCATATTGAAGAATGTTTTGTTTTGGGAAATGTGCGAGAATGCTGGCTGCTGGTGAATATTGAAAATTATTTTGCTCGGACAATGTGCGAGGGTCTTGCAAATCTGGAAAATATTAGAGAATGTTGTGGGTAATGTGGAAAGTTGCGGTTGAAAGTTGTATTAACTGATATTATTCCCGTTTCAAACTCGTGTTTACTTGCCACTTGCTTCATTGTGCCGCGATGATACATGTTTAGTCTGCTCATATATATATATAGCGTACAGCGATTCAAATGCCCCCTCCCTTCCCCCCATAGAGGGGGGAAGGGAGGGGGCATTTATTTAAACGCATTTTTAAGATTCGGCCGTGTCTGTCCCGAACGTATCAGGTACCGAATACGCGCGCCCCACGATCGCCCCAAGCTCAACAGGTATTTCACAAGATTCTCTTTCGGCGCTTATTTCGCTCCGGCAACCGGAACCTAAAGCGGACATAGAGCTTCTAATTTACACCGGTAAAAGAACTTGGGGCGTCCGTGTGCCAGCTGATTGGAATCAAAATTTTGATAGGGTCATGACGTACCAGCGGCAAGCAGTACTCATGACGTACCAGCAGCACGCAGTACTCCTACAACAATTACAAGTACTCCTGGCTGCAGTCAAGAACCGTCGTCTTCGTGTTGCGGACGACCAGTGCTACATTTCGAGAGGTAGCGCGTATGGATCGAGTGTATTTCTGAAGCGACGTGCACGTTATCGGCGTGTCATCCGCCTGCCAGTGGCTGGAGCTATCCGGCTGAGGCCTTACTATAAAAAAATGTTACGAGTTCGTAACTCCATCTGCCAATCACTGATGGCCTTCTAAGCTAAACCTAACAATCACAGACGAGAAATCGGCCGCTACATGTATTTGGGACGCTACGTGTAATCGATATGACGATAATAATATTCCTTTGATATGCACTAACGAATTATATAGGCGGTCGAAAATTTTAAAACTTGACGATATGTTCAGATTTCAACTTTTAATGTTCATGAATAGAGCACTTTACCAAGATGAGCGTCTTTTTAAAACTGCATTCGCCCTCTTGTTCCCCAACATTCTTACAACACCAGGGGCGTTCGATTTAACCTACCACCGGTTCGATTAGACATAGAAATAAGCGGTACCGTACCGTTTTTAATTGTGTCAAATATTTTAACGAATTGCCCGATGAGTTCAAACAAGATTGCTCTAAAATGTTTTTAAAAATAAAATACCGTGATTTTATCCTTAACTAGTATTAATTTGACTTTGATTATTATGCAAGTTTTAGGTATTAATTTTTTATTTTGACTAGATGTTTATAGTTGTACTCTATTTTACTAAGTGTATTGTTGACATTGCCTCTTTTTTGCTGATTTTACCACGTTTTTCTTAGCTCGCTTTCGTGTCTGTGATGATCAAATCTTGCAATCGATATTTCACCAACTTTCCCATTAGCTAGCGCTCTGAAACTTTTAGGGAAGCTCAGCTCCCGATAACAATACAATAATCATGGTCTTTAAAATTTTTTTTTATACATTTTTTTCTACTATGACATACGGCTATCAGTTTTTTAAGGTTTTTGTCAATGGTTTTCCTAATTTGTTACTTATTTGTTGAAGAAATTTGTTACTTATTTGTTCTAATCGTCGTCTTGTTATCATTGGAATTGAGTCTTGTACCTATTG